CCTTCTACCGCGACAGTCCGCGCAAGTGGCAGAACAGCATCCGCCACAACCTCACGCTCAACGACTGCTTCGTCAAGGTGCCCCGAGAGCCGGGCAACCCGGGCAAAGGCAACTACTGGACGCTCGATCCTGCGGCCGCCGACATGTTCGACAACGGCAGCTTCCTGCGGCGCCGCAAGCGCTTCAAGCGCGCCGAGCTGCCCGCGCATGCGGCCGCGCCGCCGGGGCCCCCGCTGCCCTTCCCCTACGCGCCCTACGCGCCCGCGGGCCCCGGGCTGCTCGCCCCGCCACCCGCCGCGCCCGGGCCCGCACCGCCCGCGCGCCTCTTCAGCGTCGACAGCCTGGTGAGCCTGCAGCCTGAGCTGGCGGGGCTGGGCGCCCCCGAGCCGCCCTGCTGCGCCGCGCCCGACGCCGCTGCCTTCGCGCCCTGCGCGGCCGCCGCCTCGCCGCCGCTCTACTCGCAAGCTCCCGACCGCCTGGGGCTGCCCGCGACGCGCCCCGGTCCTGGCCCGCTGCCCGCTGAGCCCCTTCTGGCCTTGGCCGGACCAGCCGGTGCCCTTGGCCCGCTGAGCCCCGGGGAGGCCTACCTGAGGCAGCCGGGCTTCGCGCCGCCGGGGCTGGAGCGCTACCTGTGAGCCTCTCCCAGGGCAAGAGCTCCTGTAGTCACCCTCCCTCCGGACTAGAGCGTGCCTTGTGGGCGGCCGCGTCGCGGTCCCCACCACCCTCCCTCTTGGGGCGCACCTCTGAGGCCCCATCTTTGCCTTCTGAATTGAACACATCTGCAGAATCCTTCGCTGTCCTCCACCCCTGGGGAGACTCCCTCCATCTCAGACACTGGACTGTATGTCCCCTCCAATTTGTGAGCCCTTCATATCTTTTCCCTCCACTTATGAACTCCCATCTTTGCATCCCCACAGCGCTGTGGATCCCAGGGAGCTGGACTCCCACCAGCGAGGTGCCCTAGGTGTCCTGGTGATTTGCAAGCCACAGGAACCTTTGGTCTCAAGCTGCCTCCTCAACTGATTCTACCTGGTCATCCTCCTCTCATGTTTTGTCAATACATTAGAGGTCAGACTGCTGGGTTCCTTACTTGTCCCTTACTCACCATCAATTACCTATTTGTCCTCTATTTCTCAACTCCCCTTTCCAGACAGACATACCTGACTGCCTATTCCAGGCCCTGAAGACAGTTCTTGGAAATTTCTGAGACAAGCAGCACCAGGGGCTCCTGCCTGAAAGGGGAATTAGTGGGCCTTTATGTCTGCCCTACCCACTGGAAAGCATAGGATTTATCAGGTTATTATTTTTTAATTAAAGCTGATTTAATTAAAAAGTAAGAAGAACCCTTTCACTGGGCTTGGTGTGTTGGTGGTGACTTGGTGTGCTGGCTGGAATGTTTGGGGAGGACAGTGGGTGAGTTTCACACCTTGGGATGCCACAGGGGGTGAACCCTCTTGCGAATCATCAGAGGTTCATGAAGTACAGTAAGGTGGTGATTCAGCCATAGCTGTGCACATCTGCCTAGTCTTCATCATCTACAACTCAGCCTAGTAGAGGTGAGATGGGGTTGCATGGGTGTTTGCATTCTTATATGAGTGCATTTGGGCAACAGGGTGGCCTGCTATTTGGCATCCGCCCATAGATAAGGAAGCATTGACCTTCATTCACTCCTCCAAGTGAATCTTTAATAATGTGTTAAGCACTGTGCTAGGCACTGTGGATACATCACTGAAGGAATGGGCAAAAACTGCCTCATATGGAGTGTGTAGATTAATGGGGGAAAAGACAATAATTACCACTGGTCTGAGAAATGAGATAAGTGCTCTAGAGCCTTGTGTTTAAAGTGTGTCTATGGACCAACAACATCACCTGGAAGCTTCTTAGAAAATCAGGATTTCAGGCACCACCTCAGACCAACCCATGGAATCATCAGATGTTGCATTTTAACAAAATTCCCAGATGATTAGTATGTGCACTAACTAAGCTAGAGGAAAGGCACCAGTCTCAGGCTGAATGCTCAGTCTAAAAGATTAAGAAGAGTGAGATTTCACAGACCACACCACCCTTCTGAACCTCACTTCTGGAGAAGGGCATGCATTGTAGGCTGTGTCTACTATTTTACCTCTTCTGCTGGATTGAGATGCAGCAGCATTGATTTGAGCTGATTCATGACTGACCCAGCACCAAGGACAGGGCAGTATGGAGCAGGATACTCAGAGGTTAAAGTTTGAGAGAGGAAGCTGGCCTTTGACCCTGTTCTGCTCTCTGGTGCTGACCCAAATGGTAAGCAGCAGGCTTTTCCAAGCTTTCTGCCCAGGGCTCCTGGTCTAGTAGAGCCTGGATTAGGGATAGGGAGAATAGAGGATGGTTTGTCTTGAACCCAGGGTAAATATGATTTGTTTGTTGGATGTGCCTGATGCACCTCTTCTAAATACCACTGTTAGAAGCTGTAGGGTGGTGGTGGAGGGTGAGAGCAGCTCATAAAGGGGAAAGGTACAGGGAATCTAGGAAGGAGGAAGGCTCTCTTTGGAGGTAGGGCAGTAGGTATGCCCAGTGCAGTAGAAAGTGCCCTGTTACACACCCTTTCCCCCAACTGTTAAATGCTTTGAGCAAGGATTAGATCCAATTTGCCTGATGTAGAGCAGACTTTCACTTAATATTTGTTGAATAGTTGACTGAACAAATGAATTCCTAGGGTCTGTGCCCAACTTACCAAATAATGACTAAGTGGGCGGTAGATTGACACTTTTTTTTCTTTTGTCCATTGTTACTGCAAGTCCCCACAGTGACTTGTGTAAAAGTCAAAAAGAGGAGACAGGTAGAAGAAGAGGCAATTTCCTCACTTGTCAGTTGAGGAGACTGCACCTCCCTGGGCTCAGTATGCAGCAGAAAATCCAGTCTTGCGTTTTCTAAACAGAGATCCACAGAGATCAAAATGCAAACCTTCTGCTTCAAATGATATTACAGCCCCTCTTCCTACCTCAGAGGACCTGTTTGTTGATAAATTTCTCCCCAATTCAAGAAATTCCCAGGGAAGGGAAGGACCTTTTCACTGTCCTGAAGTTGGAAAGTGCTTCCTGATCTCTGAATTCCATTATTGTCATCACTTCATGGTCTTAGTTCCAGGATCTTTGACCACTCAGAGGACAAGGAGACAATATCTGTAAGGACATTCTAGAAAGGCAACTGCTGAACTGGAAAGTCAGAAACATTTTTATTTTAAAATGCCTCCTTAATTTTTATTTATTCACCAACATCAAGGGCTGACTGTATGCCAGGCTCTGTGTCCATTTGTGAAGCCAATAGAAATACAAATAAGAGACTCTTTATGTTCTCAGAGAGTTCATAGTCTGGAAAGCTATATGTCATTTGACACATGTGAAAAAAACAAAAAACAAAACTTAACCAAACTCTTTCTTTAAAGTCACCATTTTTTGTCTATTAGTGAGATTTCAACATTCTTTCTCCTTTTGGGTGAAAAAATAGTCTAAAAGAAAACTTCAGAATTGTTTAATAGATCCTCGCCTCTTCATTCTTATAGAAACCTTTAAGTAATTTTATTCTAAAGACACATTTTAAATGCTTAACTTTAATTTTTATTAAATTTAAAGAATCCCATAATCTAACAAGTCAAATAATAATCAAAGGCTTACAGTGGTGTCTTACCCTACTCTTAGGAAACCTGCATTTCCCCCCACTCTTAGGAAACCTACATCTTCCCCTGTACATCTACTTTCAATTTGTATTTGTTTCTTATGGAATATACTTCCATATCTCCATGCTTATACTCCTCTCTCTTGAAACAGTAATGATTTAACTTTCTATTACAATAGATGATCATTTACCTCTAAAATGTCTCTCTCTTCCCATTTCTACCTATATCACCAACTTTTGGTTAAGTCAGTCCTTAGTACTTACATTATTACTACTGTATAAATATTATTCTTTGATAAGTTACTAGTGGACCATGATCACAACTCCTTTCTTTGGAGATGCAACTTTTTATTTTTCCTGGAATTAATAATGCCTTGGGAGTTTTTATTTGCTTAGCTTCCTTTATACTTACTGCTAAATCTTCCCATACCTTCTGATAGTACGGTGGTACACTTTTTTTGTGAGTCAAACTTATTATGAAATTCATCACTCCTTTTGGTTGCATGCTTTTGCCTTCCTGGAGACATCTCTCCCAAATCCCTCCATCCTCCAGTTCCAGTCTGGACTGACAGCTTTCCATGTCTGCTGCACAGATGTGGACCTGGAATTCCCTCCATCTCTGTTCTGTATTGAATCTTCTGCTTCCTGGATTCCATATCTTCCTTTTACTTGGTTTATTTCCTTTTCCAGCAGAGGTAAATTGTTTTGGAAACTGCACATCTGAAATAAGATAATTGTTTTAGCATGAGAAGCAAAGCATGCATTTTGACAACGAAATAGTTGAGTCAAAACTGTGTTTCTGTAGACTTTTATGGAGGAGACTGGGGAACAGGAGAATGGGAAGTATTTTCTCAGCTTAGTTTGCACTTCCTCCAAGGAAGCTGGGAAGGTAGCTCAGTGTTAAAGTAAGTGGGCAGGAGGATAAAGGGGGGGGTGCTTTGAGAACTCCTTATAGAAGGAGAGCTGACAAGAAAAGCCCTGAGAGAGGGCTGTGACCTAACTTCAGGTAATTGTACCATTGGATGCTACCTTTGGGCCCAAGATGATGCTGAGTTTGTTTGAGGACCTTCTGAGTCCAGCAGTTGAAAGAAGGCAACATCACCTTGGCACATGGAAGTATACTGGAAAATGACACCTTTGGTAGGGACACTGACAATGATAACAACAGAAAGGCTCCTTCAGGCATCTTTCAGACCTCTGGGCACCTGGGAATGCAGGCAATTACCTGGGAAAGAATAATGAGTAATGTGGAGAGCCCTCCATTGTAGTAACTGGGTTGTTTCAAGCCCATGTGAAGTAACTCTATGAGAGTTCCTGGAAGTATAGGGACAGAAGTAGGATAAAGGAGGTTAATAGGGTCTACTTTAAAGGAAAAAAAAATGTGGACCTCTAGTATTGACTTTAAATTTTATTATAATGTCACTTAGTATGTGTAGGTATAAATTCCTTAAGTTTCTACTTTTGATGTAATTGTTAAACATTATTATCAATTAAATTCAAACAGAGCAACAAAATAAAAATTCAAGTTCACAGCATTAATCAAATGTAAAAAAAAGATACTGTTTTGCTGAAACTAAATCACTTGCACCCTAAGGTGCAAAATGTGGTGTTGATTTCTCTATAGCAGATCTTTTGGGGTTGGAATGTCTTGACTAAATTCATCCACCATTTTTTTTTTTCTTTTCAACGAACTGGAACTATTCCTTCTATCACCTGGCCCAAATGCAACATTTATTTATAAAATCTACATGTATTGCCCCATATCACTTGATAATAAGTGCAAATGAAGACTCTAAATATCAGTTTTCTTTTTTAAGGAGGACATTGACCCCAATTATGCTTAAATATTAATGTATTTAATATTACCATTGCAATGAAAAAACATTTCAAAATTCTCTATTTTCTACACGTATAAGAACATATTATTGGATCATACTTCAAGTAAAGCAAATGAAAATTTAAAAATGCTTATTTAAATAAATAACTTTCGTTAGAAGAAAGCTAATATTAGAGATTATTCATAAATCAATAAAGTGAGAACAGTACATATTAAAATCCAAAGAATGGGACTGAGGATATAGCTTAGTAGTAGAGTACTTGCCTAGCATGTGTGTGGTTTGATCTCTAGCACTGAAAAAAAAAATCCTTAGGATATAGCCAACCTTGTGTTCAGAGGAAATTTCATAGCTCCCAAGTATGCTATGGAGATGGTGTTAGAGAGACCTGGGGTGGGGTAGGGAGACCAGTTAAAAGGCTACTGCAGTATCCAGCTAGAATAGGAGGGTAGCTTGGAGGAGATGGAGACAAGTAGACATACAAATACGTGGAAACAGTCAACCATTAACTGAAATCCTAATTTAGCAAAACCACAAAGTTTCCCATTTAACCACAGCTTCATGCTGACTCTGAAAGCTTAGGGACTCCTGGTCTGGGTTGACTAATTTAAGGAGTAACTAATTTCAGACCTCTGAGCACAGAAGAAAAAGAAAACACTGTCAGAGCAGTTCTTCTCATTGCTCCCACAGGAGGGCATCTAGGGTAGACTGTGTTGTCTGTTAAGTTATCAGAAACTGTTTTGCTAGTTATATAAATTGATACAGAAAAAAACAAAAATGGAAATCATCCTAAGTCAATCTACCTATTTATGTTATCAAAACCTGGTAAAGAAGGGGTGAGCCCACCATAGTCTAATATCACATATGAAAGAAGATGGAAATTTTCCCAGCAAACTGAATCCAGGAATGCAATATAAAAAGTATACCATCAAGTGCTGTTTATCCCCAGAATACAAAAATGACATTATTAGGATTATTATTATCATCACCCCTTTATATAAGCTGTGCAGATCATCATATTTATAAATGATACAACTGGAGTTCATAAGTCAAGTGAATTACCCAAGTCAAACTGCCAAGTGACATTCAGGACTGGACTCCAGGTCTGTCTGATCCAAAGTCATTCTCCTTTCTCAGAGAAGTGAATGGAGGTGGAAACTTGGATGGAAAAACCTCAGGCATTAATAACTTTTCTCAGTTTACCCCAACATCCTCCCCCGCACACCCACAGTCCTTGTCTTGAAAGGGATCTTTCCAAGCCAGGTGACAGGTCTTTGGTTTCCTATATCATCCACTCTGTTCTCAACTCCCTCCCTAGCTCCATGCTGCCCCTCTCCCTCACCTTTTCCTATACTCCATTCTCCTTTCTCTCCCTGATCAATTCATGGGGACAAATGCGCCACCTATTGGCCACCTCATACGTACCAGACCTGAGTAGGAAATCATTGGAATGAAGCCAGGATCCACTTGGATGCTCTCTGGGGCTGGTGGGGAGGGGAGGTTCTGATGGCTGAAAGGCACTTGCTCTAGTGGGAAACCTAGTTGTTTGGCATGGAAGAGGGAAATTGGCTGCAGTTCACACCTCCTCTGAGAAGCCCTCCCAGATCTTCCACATTCCTCTTGGCAGCCCTTGGTAGCTGCCCTACTGCAGGAGGTCTTGGAATAGGGGTGGATGGGTGTCCTAGGTGAGGAGAATTGATCTACTCTGTAAGAGGGAAATTGAGGAAAGGATGCTGGGCTGGGGACAGAAAACCTGAGGTCTAGTCCCAGGCCAAAGATTTAGACAAGTCCTTTCCTCTTTCTGTTCCTCGCAGCAATTCCTAACTCTCCCAAGCTTCTGGACTCTGCCAGGCCCTGTTCTCCCCAATTGCAGGTGCAGAGATGCAGCAGATACTATCCCAGCTCAGAGAAGTCAATATTGGTGGATATGACAAATATAATGTGTAGAGTGCTTCATAAGATGAGGGAACTGTAGTTCACCTGGTCACTCACCAGTTTGAGCCTCTGCCCTGCCCTCAGCCTTAGCATCCTCTGAAGACAGAATGTGTTCTGATCTCTATGTCTGGGTGGGAGTGGTCTTTGTAATCATCAGTAAGGATTTTTCTACTCTGCCTGAATGTGGGTTTCCAGATAGGGCCTGTTTTCTTTCCTCAACTGTCTCCCTCACTGGGCAGTCTGGGGCTTTCACCTGGGCTGTCCTTGTCTGGAGGCTGGACTTGGGTTGTAGGTGGTTGAGGGAGAGAATTAGAGATAGGGGTTCTGAACCCTTCTTGGAGGAGACACAGGCTACAGCCTGGGCATTTGTCTCTACAACTTGATGGGGTTGGGGAGCGCAGCCAGGGCCTTGTGGGCTCACAAAGGCAAGGCTTCCTAGAGGAGCTTGGTTCTGGGTTGGGTTGAAGGAAAGGAAAGAAGGAGCTGCTATTCTGATTTCTGTGAAAATCCCTCTGCCTCCCTTCATTCTAATCTCTGCCCAACCTTGACAACTGAAAAAACTGACTACTTTCAAAGCAGTTTAGGTGGAACAAAGAGAGGGAGGCAGCCGAAGACAGAGGAAAGGGAGCAGAACAGGAGGGAAGGATGGCAGATCTGGGGTCCTAGTGAGCAGACCTGCCTACTTCCCTCCTAGGGGCCAGTGATAGACACTTAAGGTACCACTAAATCTGGCTTTCACATCCCTTGCCTTCAATACTCACATCCACCAACTATCTTCTCAGGTTGGAGTCCATGGGAAGTGTCTTTATTGTTGCCCATAGCAATTATTTTAGTGTTGTCTATAGCAATGGCTTATATTATTGTATGTTCTGCATTTAGTCTTTATTGGAATAATTCAATTGTTTCTTTTAAAGCATTTAATTAATTGTTGAATAGGTAATATATTCACTTGGTTTTAAAAGTATTCCATGAATGTTAGGTGTGGTGGCGTACACTTTTCATCCCACCAACTGGAGGCTGAGGCAAGAGGGTGGCAATTTCAAGGCCAGCCTCAGCAACTTGGCAAGGCCCTGTCTCAAAACAAAAAGCAAAAAGGGCTGGGGTAAAACACTCTTGCGTTTAATCCCTAGTACCAAGAAATAAGTAATTTTATAAAGTATCCCATGAAAATTCTCTTCCATTCTTGTTCCCTATTTGCCCCTAACAGATAATCAATTATTCATTTTTATTCATCCTTCTAGACATTTTTGTTGCATATATATAAAGCAATATAAATATGACATGATTTTCTCCTCAGAGAAAGAATCCCCAACAGTGGAGGTGACCTGCAGAGTGATCCCCAGCTCCTTCACCTCCACAGACAGCATGTGGATCCTCTGTGGGAAGGTATTTTGCCCTCTGTCAGAAGAGGTTTTCTTTTCTCTGTTTTATGCAACTCTTAGATTATATCCCTCAGCCAGTACAAACACTCCTCTGTCCTCTGAATAGTCAGTGGGTCGGTGTCTTGGTTCATTTTGTCCTTTCCAACCCTGAAGATCCCTCCCCATGCGTCTCGATATCCACTCATGTTCCTGGTGTGGCCTGGATGACACCTGGTCCACAAAGCCTCCACTCCATTCCAGGGCATCCCAGGGCACAGGACTTTTATTCCTTCCACTGTCTTGTGGGTAGTGAATGGTATCTTTTTTGTGTGTGTGTGCCCCTTGCTGCATTGTATGCTCATGGGAAATAGGCATTACTCCCCTGGAATATACAGGAACATGTATTTTGTACTCACTTTGTGTATACGTATTACTCATTTTGTTTGTGAGCTGTGAGGATGATACTTGGCTTGTGGAACTATGACCTGTGATGACTAGCCTGAGGCCAGCGTATCTCCCCTTGGTTGGAATGTATAGGTCAAAACTTAAAATTTATTTTTTACTCATAAGGGTTTTAACCTGGTCATTTCATGCCAGTTAAAAGCTCTGATTGGCAGCTTTAGGTTTCTTGATTAAAAACCCAAATAAATGCCCAGCATAATGGCACATACCAGTAATCCCAGTGGCTCAGGAGGCTGAGGCAAAAGGATTGCAAGTTCAAAGCCAGCCTCAGCAAAAGCCAGGTGCTAAGCAACTCAGTGAGATCCTGTCTCTAAATAAAATACAAAATAGGGCTGGGGATGTGGCTCAGTGGTTGAATACCCCTGAGTTCAATCCCTGGTATCCTTGCCCCGCTGCACCCCCCCAAAAAATAAACTAAATTTGAGGCAGTCTTTCAATGATAAAAGTGTTTTTGGTGAAAAGATCAGAAACTGTTCTCTTGGTGCTTACTGAAAATATTTTGAATGAATGTATATACAAGTTATTGTCATTTCTTTATATTAATTCAGAAGTTATCCATCAAATAAATAATGATTTTTCAAAAAAAAAGAATCTCCAACAATTAGAAGCATAGATGTTTACATTGCTCTATATCTTAATTTTTTTTCACTCTACAACATACTTTAGACTGTTTTCAGATCAATAAAGAGCTTCTTTATTCATTTTACATAGCATACTATCT